CCAATGAAAACTGCAGGGGTCATCAATGGAAAAAGTTCGAGAATCCCTGATCTAAACACACAGGACTTTTCCTTATTTCCTAAGCATGCTTTTCTCCTTCCTGTCTTGATGTCTTTGCTCATATTCCACTTTCCATTTGCAGTTCTGCTTAGTTTCAACTCTGTATAACAAAATGCCCCTCCCAGAATAAACCGATTACTTCTAATCTCATCACTATGCTGGTAACTCAAGCCTTCCCACCTCTCTCAGCTTCCTCTCCCTCAGACTGGAGGGCTAGTGGGTGAAGTACTAAGTTCTTCTCCAAACCTTCCTTTATAGAGAAAAGAAATTGGACTCAGCTCACTCCACTTTCTACCTGCACCTCTGCTTGGTTTCAGCTCCAGGGAATAAGATTTCAATTCAACTCAATAAACTTTTATTGAGCACCTAATCTGTGCCAAGAATTGTGCTAAAGAATGGGGATACAATTAAGAAAAAGAAAAACAGTCCCTGCCCTCAAGGAGTTTATACTCTAATAGGGGAAGACAATACAGGAAAGTCAGTTAGAAAACAAAAGTGGGAGGAAACAGTTTGGAATGAAACCAAGCAGAGCTGCAGAGGGAATGAACTGAAAGTCCATTTTCTGCCCTCTATAAAGGAAGGCTTTGAGAGGAGGTTAGTACTCTATTCTCCAGCCCTATGATTAGAGAAGAGAGGAGCCTGAGGGAGATGGGAAGGTGTCTGAGTATCCAAGACTTGAGTTGACAGCATGGAGAAGGAACAAGATTCCCTACCCTGTTCCCATCCATAAGCCTTGTTGACCTGGATTTGGATCCTAACTTTGCCACTTAATTAGCTATGTGATCCTGGGAAACTTTACTTAACCTCTCAAGGCTCAGTTTATTCATCTGTTATAAACAAGGGAGTTTTGACTAGAGGAGCTCTGCGGTTTCTTCTAGCTCTAAATCTGTGCAGTTATACATATTGTTATTATTGTTACTATTTTTACTGAGTTATTGTGTTCTAACCTGAGGCCAGAATCAGATTTCTGTAGTTCTGACAACTCTTCTATGTGAGAAATAGAATTTATTTTCCTATAAAGTCAAATTGTGAAATTCATTCCTTATGTTTAGGTTACTTGTTAGCCACATATCCAGATAATAAGTTGTTATACAGAATGCCATATTTTCTTTATCCATAATGGCCAGTGCATCAATTGAGTTGAAACACTTGAGTTTGCTCCAGAAGAGAGGTTTTAACTATTTCAGCAGCTGCTTTTCCCTTTCTGTGTTGTAGCCTTATTAACAAGAAATTGAAATATAATTTTTACAATAATTTATTTCAATTGTAGTAGTAATCTTAGAACCATTTACTTGTATGGGGATTCAAACCACCCTAAATTTTATGAATCTTTATAGTTTCATAGTAATTCTATTTATGTGCCATAGGCAACTTATATTAAGATGTTTTGGATTCTTAGTCACAATAGACAGAGTTGATAATGTAACTATATTTTAAAACTCCACCCTTCTCCTACAGTGAATTCATGTGATTCATATGATTTTGTGCAGTATGTATTATAATTAAAACCCAATACTCATTGTCTGAAGCAGAGAAGAAAGAGCAAATTCATAAATTGGGCTTTCATTCACACTTCTATTCCCAAAAGTGAAATTTTCATTTATTAATATTTATTATGTATGTAGGAAATGAAAGCGTTGACTCAAACTTTTGCTACAAGTAAATTGCAAGGCAGTAAATGTTTGTTGATGATAATGATGGAATTTGCCTTTCAAACAACCTCCAAGGACTAACCTCAGATTGTTACTACAAATAGTATAACAGGTAAAGCAACTCCAGACTGTCTTCACCAAAATCAAGTTAAATGCAGAAGCCAGACAACAAAAGGTGTTGTGTGTGTGTGTGTGTGTGTGTGTGTGTGTGTGTGTGTGGTTTTTTATTTTGTTTTGTTTTTACAATAAGAATTGCTTTTAAATGCTAGGTATGGTAGAGGAAGGAGTGAATGAGTTCCATGGAAATGTGCCATTTTGGCAGATTAGGTTATGTGAAGAGTACAGCTTTGGGGACTAGGGAGTTAAGGGTCAGTGTTTCTATGGAAGGCCATCATCTAGAACTCAAAGAGGTAGGTAGTAGTGCTCAAAAGGAATAAATTATTTACTTTGGGTAAAGGTCTTGTTTTGGCAAACTTACTTGATTAGCCTGCAAAAAAAACCAACCCTCTTTGTTCAGGGTATTAATTTATGCAACTTGCTTTTTTTTTTTTTTTTTGCCAAGGGATCCATGACAATAAATTCTAGATTACATTTTTGAAGGTCCATAATGTGCTTATACTCCAACCTGCCATCTAGGCCACCTTGTTAACTGGTGAATGGGCACAATTCTCACTTACAAACACCCCCAAAAAGTTGCCTTGTTATAGCTTTTACTTTAAACCATCTTTCAGGTTCTCTTCTCCCCCACATATCAACGCATCCTTCTAATTCAATTTGTTAGCATAGTTCTCCAAAATTTCTCTCATATAAAAAGAATTATCCAAATGAAGAAAAGGGGTAGGTGGCATCTGAAGAAAATAATATGACTGTATGGAGAGCTCTCTCATGAGGTTTTGTTTTGTTTTTTTTTATTTTAAAAGGGCATCTAGAAAATGTGGGTGACGGTACATAAGCAAGGAGGAATATAAGAGAGACATAAAAGATTATGGACCTAAACAAAGAGTATCAGGAAAATTAAAACTTCAAATGGGCTGAGGCCTAGGAAAACTATCCCAGATGGTATAACTTGCAATTCATTTATTTAAATGATGGCAAATGACCCACCCCTGTCTACTAGAAGGCAAAGGGAAAGAGCTAGTGGAAAGGAGGGATTAAAAAACTGGTTTAAATTTTAAAAATACTAGTTTATTAAGAGGGAATAGTTGAAAGGGGGGAGGTTTCTTTGTGCACTGGAGGTGATGAATAAATGCTGATTTGAATTAAAATTGAAGGTCTTAGAAGAAATAGGTAGTGATAAGATCAAGGTCATAGGTAGAGTGATTAGCTTTGGAAAGGAAGAGTTTCTTCATCTCTAAAATGGGGACAGGACAGGAGGATATTAACACCTCTAGCACTTGCCTTCCAGATTTGTTGTGAGGATCAAATGAGATAGTGTATGGGAGGTACTTTATAAAATTAAAAGCATTGTCTAAATGTCATTTCATTAATCCTGACAACAACTCTGGGAGGAAGATGCTATAATTAGCCTCATTTTATAAGTGAGGAAACTGAGGCAGACACAGGTTACGTGACTTGCCCAGGGTCACACAGCTACTAAATATCTGAAGCTGGATTTGATACCAGGTCCAGTGCTCTATCCATTGTACCACTTGCTGCTTTGTCATTGTTGCCATTGTTGTCCTCACAGTCTTCATTGTCATTGTTATTAGGTAGGGGAATCTCTGTAAGGGATTTTTGAATGAGAATGGCATAGGATGAGATGTTGACATATTGTATCTGTGCCATTAGAAGGAATAACCACAAGAATGAGATTGCATCTCCACTGGGGTATTGAAGCATTATTATAAGGCAAGAGACTTAGTTCCTAAGAAGACATGGTAACCATGTAAGGCAAGCCTATTGCGAATATCAGATATCCATAGACTATTGAGTCTGAAGGAGCCTTAGAGGTTATCTAGTCCAATTCCCTAACCATGTCATGAATACCCTCTAGAATAGCATGAACAATTATGTGACCTCATGAATGTCAGCAGATGGAGCCAGTGACAGAGCAGTGAGAAGCCCCTGGATCAGGCAGGAGCTGGAGATGACAAATAAAAGAAAAAAAAATCTCATTGTGGAGGGATAAATTCAGACCTTACCTTTAACAAGTACTGTGAGTTACATGGACAGTGCAGGTATAAGGAACAGGAATTGTCTACATAGCAATCCCTCATTCTTTCCACTTGCAAGAAGAACTTAACCTTATAAATCTTAAACTTATAAATCTGGAGAACTATATAGGCCCTGGGAAAAGGGGGTAGGACTTATTAAGCAAATGGATTACTTTACTTCCTAGAAGCCCAGGTGCTTCTGTCTTGGAGATGGGGGCCTTGACTCCAGAATAGCATGATAGGCTTAGAAAACTGCATTGATTTCATAGAGGAGTTAGAAGCTCACAGGAAAGGAAAGGGAAATTATTTTGATTGGTTATTGTTTCAGCCATCTATTTTTATCTTTCTTTGTCAGATTGAAGGTCCTGTATTTAATGTATTGTTAACCTCAATGCTTAAGTATTCTTTTCCCTTTTTGTTGTGGAGACCTAGATGTAAGCCAGATTCTGATTTTTTTGCAGTAAATCCTGGGTGTTCAAAATATACCAAATTCTGATGTTCCATAGAGGAAACCTAGGATAAGGGTACAAGCCAAAAGAGAGATTTTAGCATGAAATCTTAAGATTGAACCTATTCCAAGTAAATAGACCAGGGAGAATTAATTAGTGATCATTTATCATAGAGGATGAACAATATAGTACTTGCTGATGGTCACTAAAATATTTTCCTTACTGTCCTGTCTCTTAGGTCTGTAAACAAACTAATAGTCCTTCGGTATCCTGGAAACTGTCTCTATAGCAGTTTTCTAGTTCTTACAAAACACAGTCACTTCTGGAAAATATGCTTTTGGTGTTTCCTCTCCCTGTTCTTTCAAAAATAATATTAAGCATTAGCAAGGGATCAACCCTAGCTCCTAGAACCTGCAACGTATATCACTCAATATAATCCTTTTCTAATCACATAAGCATTCTTTTCTGCATAATAACAAGCAGTACTCCACTAAATAGTCTCCCACATATATTCTACTTGTTCCATTTTGTTCATGATTTTAAACAAATAATATCAACCACTGAAAAATTAGTTAACCTTATAGCCATCATTTTTTTTTTCAAACAGAAAAAGTCTCTGGTCAATGAGAAAGAAAATGCCCTTACTAGTTTCTTAGCTCAAAACTCAATATTTTTTTCTTTTTCAGGTTGGACAAGTCCAGTGAAAGTTATTCCTGATAAATCTAAAATGCAAGGCAATTTAACCGCATTACGGTTTTCATTTGACGATTCAAAATGTAAGGTAAAACATATCCCATTTGTTTTGTTGGTTATTTATTTTGTATTCTGTGGATCTGAGCGTCAACACTATATGTATGAAAAAATAAGTATTTTTTTTTAAATTTCTTAACCATGTGAACTCATTCCTAACCAAAGGAAATACATAGGTACCTTCATCTCTGTAGGAGAAAGTATTTTAATTATTCAATTTTAGATAATTTTTCCTAAAATGACAATTAGTCAGGGACAAAATCAAGAATACAGTATAAAAATTCTAAATCCTACATTATGGAAGAACCTTATTTTGAGGGGAAGAGTAAGTAATGTTTTCCTGGGATTGACCAGTATGGAGAATTTCTGGTATATAATATTCCCTCCTCTGAAGCATCTGTAATTGATAGCCTTAGTTTCTTAGAGGCAGCTAGAATCTCCCGGTGCAAGAATTTGAACCCAGCACTCTCTTCTTTGGAAATACACTGACCACAATTAACAAAGAAACTATTAAGAATAAAAATGTTCCTATGCCAGATTTCAGTATGCACAGTGGTTCAATGACTTCCCTTCTCCTTTGAGGTATCCAAAGTCACTTGTTTGTCCGCTGGTTTCATACCCAGGTTTTTAACTGGGAAAAAATAACCCTAATAATTGCTTAGATACCACTCAGAAAGCACTAGCACAAACAAATCTAAAGCCTGAAACATTATCCTCCACAACTAGGGACTACAGCCGGATTCTTTTTTCACAGACAAGAAAAAAGCCACACAAAAAATGAGTGAGCAAAAGAGAAAGAACCTGACTATAGATAGCTATTCTGATGATGGAGAAGATCTGGGTTCAAACTCAGAAGAAAATAGTGAAGTGAAAACAGCTACTTCTACTTCAAAGATAAGAGCAAAATGATCGCTAACCCCCAAAGAGTTTTTAGAATATCTTAAAAAGGACTTTAAAAATCAAATAAGAGAGGTAGAGGAAGAATTGGGGAAAAATTTAAAGTAGTGCAAGAAACTGAAGAAGATTATGAAAAGAAAGTTAACCATTAGAAAAAGAGATCCAAAAACTTACAGAAGAAAATAAAAAATTAGAATTGAGCAAGCTAATGACTTCATTAGACATAAAAAAATAATAAAACAAAATTTAAAGAAAATTAAAAAAAAATAAAAGAGAATGCCAAACATCTCATTAGAAAAACAACTGATTTGGAGAAGAGATTGAGGGAAGACAATGTAAGAATTGTTGGACTACTGAAAGTTATGATCACAAAAAGAGTCTAGACACTATACTTCAAGAAATGATTAAGGAAAATTGTCCTGAAGTTTTAGAACAAGAGAGTAAAATAGAAATAGGGAGAAGAAAAAGGGAGCAATTATCTCATACAAATGAGGTGTGAATGGAAGAATTGTTACAGTGGAGGCAGGAGGGGGTGGAGGGGTGGTAGTGTTAGAACCTTATTCTCATCAGAACTGGGCAAAAGAGGGAATAACATATACATCTAGAAAGGTAAAAAAGTCTTCTTAACTTACAGAGAAATAGGAGGGTGAGGGAATAGGATAAGGGAGGGATTTTTAGAAGGGTAGGTAAATTAAAGAATAATAGGATAAGGGAAAGGGATAAGGGAGGAATTCTTAGAAGGGGTTTGGATTAAGAAGACAGTGACTGGAAGTCAATTAGAGGTTTAAGGACAGATAGGGTGAAAAAGAGGGACAGAGGGATAAAGTGATGAAAAATAGGATGGAGGGAAATGCACAACTAGTAATTATAATTTTGAATATGAATGGGATGAACTCTCCCATAAAATGGTAATGGATAGCAGAGTGGATTAAAAAACAGAATTCAGCAATACTTATTTTCAAGAAGCACATTTAAAAATGAGAGATACACATAAAGTAAAAAAGGGCTGGGGTAGAATTTATTATGCTTCAGCTGATGCAAAAAAAGCAGGGGTAGCAATTATGATTTTAGATAAAGTTAAAGCTAAAATAGATTTAATCGAAAGATATAAACAGAGAAACTGTACCATAGACAATGAAGTAATATCACTACTAAACCTATATGCACCAAATGCTATATTATTATATTTTTTAAAGGAAATTCTAAATGAATTACAAAGGGAAATGGACAGCAAAACTATAATAGTGGGGAACTTCAACTTTCCCTTCTCAGAACCAGATAAATCTAACCAAAAAATAAATAAATAAGAAAGAAGTCTAGGAGATGAATTAGAATCCTAGATAAGCTAAATATGATAGATTTCTGAAGAAGGAATAGAATGGGAATGAATGGGAATAGAAAGGAATACACCTCTTTCTCAGCGATACTTGGTACCTTTACAAAAATTAACAATATATTAGGCCATGAAAATGTTATAGTTAAATGCAGAAAAACATAAATATTAAATGCTTCACTTTTCAGATCATAATGCAATAAAATTTATATTTAATAATGGACCATGGAAACACAGATTAAAAATTCATTGGAGACTAAATTAACTAATGTTAAAGAAGTTGCAGAAATAATAAATAATTTTATTAAAGTATATAAGGCCAGATTTGAACCCAGGTCTTCCTGACTCCAGGCTGAGTGCTGTATCCACTGTACCACTTAGCTACCCCTGGGCATTTTAAGAAAGGAAGCTGGAGTTCCCCATTTTAGCTAGCCAATGACTAAAACACATTGATTGAAGTATATGCTTCTTACTCTCAAAGTGTTAGATCATGGGATTTTTCCTATGGATATCGACTCATTGCTTTATGGATCAATCATCCCTGTATCCATATAGGAATAAAGTCAATCAATTTAGAACCCATAAAATCATTGGGGACAGATCCTTAAGCTCTCTTCAAATGACATGTCATTCTCTTCAGAAGCTTTCTCTAATCCGGAACTGAGTAAGAGCTCAGTCACTGCTCCCCTACTCAGAGGGCAATATGTTTTACTCCAACTGCAGGGTCCTTCAATTATGGAGACATTTAAGCACAACTTCTCTGATGGAGATATAACATGACAGACTAGACGATAGAGAAACTAACTAAATTCATGGAGTCTGTCTGGGACAGTACTGGAGTATTTCAGGCATTCAGTGAAAAGAAAAAAAAATCAATGAATTGAAAATGGAACTAAAAATACTAGAAAACCAACACATTAAAAAACTAAATTATACACCAAAATGGAAATCCTTAAAATTAAAGATTAACAAAGTTAAAACAAAGAAATTAAATTACTAAATAAGCTGGTTTAAAAAAAGAACCATTAGCTAATTTGATTAAAAAGAAGAAAAAGGAAAACTAAACTACTGGTATTAAAAATGAAAAAGGAAAACTTGCAATAAATAAAGAAAAAACAAAGGATATTATTAAAAATGATTTTAATCAACTACATGTGAATTAAGCCAACAATTTAAATAAATGAATATTTATAAAAATATAAAATACTCAAATTAATGGAACAAGAAATCGAAAACTTTGAAAATCTGATTTCAGAGGAAGAAATGAACAAACCATAAATATTCATTTATTTATTTTCTCAAAGAAAAAACTCAAGAACCAAATGGAATTACAAGTAAATTTTATCAAACATTCAAAGATCAATGAATTCTTCCAATATTACATGAACTTTTTGCAAAATAGCAAAAGAGGGAATCTTGCCAAATTCATATTATAACAAAGATATGGTTGTGGTACATAAACCAAGAATACTTAAAAAAGGAAAAGAAAACTATAGGACAATATCTCCTGTGAACAATGATGCAACAGTTTATAAAATATCTCTTGGCTTGTTTATTGATCAATTGATTGGAAACAAACTAGAATTCTTTCCAATAAAATCAGGGATTAAACAACAGTATCTATTGTCAAACTGATAAAAAGTAAAATGAGCAGAACCAGCAGAGCACTATACACAAAAACAGCATACTGTAATAATGGTCAACTATGAAAGACTTAACTATTCTGATCAATACAATGATCCAAAGTAATTCCAAAGGACTCATAATGAAAAAACACCATCCACCTCTGGAGACAGAATTGATGAACTGAGTGCAGATTGGAGAATACTGTTTTTCATTTTCCTTATTTTTTATTCCCCCCCTCCCCAACATGGCTAATACAGAAATGTTTTGAGTGACTTCACAGGTATAATGGGTTATCATATTGCTTGCCTTGTCAATGGATGGAGGAGGGAGAGAATCTGGAACTCAAAATATAAAAAAAAGAATGCTACAAATAAATAGATAAATATTCTTCCATTCTCCCTACCCCCTGTTGGTCATCCTTTCCCCTAGTTTTTAGAGTTTGCTTATTCATGCCTTTTTCATTTTCCTTTTACATAATCTAATTCTCCCTCTTTCTCTTTCTCTATTAGTTGATTAAAATCCTTCTTCTTTCCTTTAACTCATTGTGTTAGTTTTTAAATATTTTGTCTTTTTCTAAAAATGATTACTTTATTATCTTCATTAATTCTCTTTTCTGGCTATTCTAAACTTGTATCTTTTCTTTCATGGTCTTTATAATCTTTATTTCTTCTTTAGTCTGTGTTCCTCAAAATTAAAGCTTTTTCTCTTTTGCTTCTTTAGAGAGATTTGCTAAGGCAGATTCAAGTTTTTCATTTCTGGCAAACATTTCTCCTGTATAGGCCACATATTCTGCTTTGAAGATTCTTGTTTCCCTCTTGTACCATTTGGGAACATCCTGCTGTGATTCCATACAGTCCTGGAAAGCCAAAGTTTTTGCTGCCCCATCACTTGTTTTTTCATTTTTCTTTCTCTTGTTATATTTACTCAGAGATTTCTGGGTTTGTTTAGATATCACCTTCCCTTCTGTTATTAATAGCTAAACTGTTGATATATCTGTGCACACTCAAGTTTTAAACAGAATTTTCTTCTGGGATCTCTGGTAACTTCAGTCTTTTTTCATTTGTTCCTCTATCATTCAGTTTCTGATTCTTTTCTTTTGATGGCAGATTCCCCAAAAGTTGGAATTCAAAAATGTCTCTGCCTCTTCCCACACCACCCTGGGGAATTCACTTTTCACTAGCCTCAGTGCCTACACCAGGCGACTTCAGTGAGTACAGAACTGGCTCCAGCTAGATTCTAGCCTCCTTTCCTCCCTGCCTGGTGTAGCACTCGACACTGGCACCCTGCTCCCCTTCTCTCTGTTTTTTAGTTCAACGGCTGAGATGTCCCAGGCTGACCAAATTTCTGATTTCCTCTATCTCCACCTCCTCTGTGGCCATCAATCACTAGTGCTATGTTGCTACAGGATGTCCAATTTGGAAGCTGGTCTCAGTGCCACTTGGGAAAAGCCAATTTCATCCCTCCGGGATGGTGGCAGCAGCAGGGCCTGGCGCTCCTCTCGGGGCGGATGACACCGGGGTGAATCCCCCAGGGGCCCGGTGCTCCGAAAGAAGCCGCTCACCCTCACCGCTGGCCGCCGAGACGTCTGCGTGCGCGCTCCCCCCAAAGGATTATTTTGTAGAAATAGAAAAAATAATAAAATTTATATGCAGATAAAAAAAAAAAGGTCGAGAAACAAGGAAAAAGGAGGAATGAAAAACTCTAGCAGTCCCAGATCTCAAACTGTACTACAAATGAAGTAATTCTCAAAATGATTTGTGCTGGTTAAATAATAGAAATTGATAAGTGCACAACACTTAGGTGCACAACATAAAGAAGCAAATCTATCTGGTACCTTAGTATTCAATAAACAAAAAGACCAGCAACTGAATTAAGGATTCACTATTTCATAAAAACTGCTAGGAAAACTGGAGAGCAATATGAAAGAAATTAAATTTAGACCAATGCCTCATACCTAAACTAGTCTCTAAATGGAAACATTACCTAAATATAAAAGATCACATCATAAACAAATTAAAGAAACATGGAAGAAATTACTTATCAGATCTGTGGATAAAGAAAAGTTCAAGACCAAACAAAAGACAGGAAAATTTTAGAAGATAAGATGATTAATTTTGATTGCACAAAATTTTGATTTTTGCATAAACAAATTCAATAAAGCTAAGATTCAAAGGGAAACAACTAGGGGGAAAAAATTGCAACAAATATCCTTGATAAAGTTTTCTTTTCCAAGATATGTAGGGTATTCCAAAAGTCTTAGTGTAGTTTTAAATTGAAATATAAACCTTCTGTTTGGCTTCTTAAAGCCTTTTTCTTAGCCTGGCCCCTTTCTTCCTATGTAGTCTTCTCAAATCTGTGATTCCAAGTTACCATCCCATCTCAGCAAGGTATCCTACAAACTAACCTCTCTATGATATAAAAACCTTATCATTTCCTGCATGGATTTTTTTCTGTGTGTTTGATATGGTCCAACTCTTTGCCTCGTTTATTGTCATCTTCAGTGCCCTTTATATTTATTTACATATCACGTCAGAGACTGATGTGTCCCAGTCCAGAAGTGTTGCTCCCAATATCATTAATGATGAAAAGAATTTGTTATAGAAATGCCAACAGATTTGTTCCATCTGTCATCAGTTTAGTGAGATGTCAAGTGCTTTGCAAACTTGAAAGCTTATATAAATGTTAGCTATTTTAATAAAGCTAGTCAGTGAATCTGAAAGTGTAGCAACTCACACCCAACGTATTTTGATGTCATTCTTTGCTTCTTATTTCCCAAAGAGTGAAGAAGGCAGAGCTCCAGCATGGGTGAGTGAGGAACAGAAAGTAATGGAATCATTCTACAAGTCCAGTACACAAAAGTGAGCAGTTCTTTTTTCTGTCATAGAATTTTTGACATATTTAAAAATACATTCTAGTGGATAGGACACTGGACTTGGAGTCAGTAATAACTAGGTTCAAAGCTCTGGCCTTCACTTTCCTTATCTGTCAAGTGAGGGAGTTAAACTTGACAGCCTCTACGTTCTCCTCCATCCCTATGACTATGATCCCAGAAAAATCTTTATTTCTATTTTGGTAGCTGAATACTTGAGAAATATATAAGTTGTTTCATTTTGGATTTAGAAGTTGACTTATAATACAAAGAGAAGCAGAATAGGGTCTTTAGAGAACTGGAGTTGGAGGCAGGAAGACCAACTTCAAATTCAAATTCAGGTTCAAATTCCACCATAGAGCTATGTAATTTCAGTCTGGCCACTCAACCTCCCTGAACCTCAACTTCCTGTAAAACTGGAGTAGCTACTTCTTAGGTTCTTGTAAGGATCAAATGAGGTGACATTCATAAGGTGCTTTGTAGACTTTTAAAGACAACATAAAGGCCAGCTGCTGTAAGTGCCAAACAGTTTTGGTTTCTTTCAGTAGTGCTGGGTGACATAAAGTTTATAAATTCCTTTGCTATAATATTCCCTATTCATTTTTGGAGGCAGCTAGGTGGTGCAGTAGAATGAGCACCAAGCCTAGAGTCAGGAAGATTCCTCTTCCTGAGTGCAAATCCAGCCTCAGACACTTACTAGCTGTGTAACCTGGGCAAGTCTCTTAATCCTGTTTGCCTCAGTTTTCTTATCTGTAAAATGAGCTAGAGAAGGAAATGGCAAACCACTGCAGTATCTTTGCCAAGAAAACCCCAAATGGGGTCACAAAGAGTAGGACATGACTGAAACAACTGAAAACAAAAATTCATTTTGGGGGAAATTAACACCCTGGTAACAGTATGAGAAATGTTTTGCTCAATTCCCTGTTTTTAAATCAGAAAATAATCACCTTTATAAAATGTGGAAATGTTACTTAGCAATTTAGCATCTAGTAATATATACAAAATGATCCTAAGGAACTTCTTAAAAAGTACAACTTTAAATGTAGAAGGCTGCCTCACCATTATTGGAAATCCCATAAATTCTTTCTGAAAATAAAAGAGATTCTCAAAACTGACTCAGCTCTCAAATTTAGATGTATACCTTTGTGACACTCCAACAGATTTCTTCAAGTACAAGGTGGTCAACAAATTAAATTAGAAAATCTAACACTTCTGCATTTAAGAACTTTTTTGAGTGGGGCTCAATATTTTGTGGAAACAGGTTTTTAAACATGTTCAGTGAGCAATGATTTGTTTAATACAGTAACATTCCTGTAATGGATGTAAAGCCATGAGCAACCTTTAGGAAGAATTCGTGGGAACAATACAATATTGAAATCTTTCTTATTGAAGAATTGTCTTCTTAATATCAGGCCAAGAAATTTTTACTTTGTTTTTTCCTCAGAAGAAAAAAATATTAACTTCAAAGAAAAAAAATTATAAATCTGCAAATGTTAGCTTCTGGAGGACAGAGGCTATTTAATATTTGTCTGTATGTTCCCCATTCCAGTCACAGTGCCTAGCAGATGATAGGTATTGATATGAATGTCATTGTTAATTGATTAATAAGAACTCTTTTGCTTGTTTCTTTTGTTTTGTTTTGTTTTTCTTTCTTGGTATTCCCAGGGCTGAGTACAGGGCCTGGCATATAGTAAAGTGTTTAATAAATGCTTACTGACTTTACTTGAATCTTTAAAATTATGTCAAAGAGGAGGCTTTATACTGTTAATAGTGTTTTTCTTGAGTTGTTTTGAAGCCTTGAAAGCTAGCATGGTCTAGAGTCAGAGGACCTGGGTTTGATTTCCAGCTCTCCCACTTTTTACATCTCTAGGAATAATACCTAGATTGTCTTAGAGACCCGCTGTGAAGGAAAGCAATCTCTAAACCCTAAATAGCTATATAAATTTATGCTATTAGTAGTGTTGTAGGCTTTTCATTAGTAGATTCTTGCCCCTAAAAAAAAGGTACTTGATAACATTCTGAAGCTCACTTAGAGAAAAGCTGACTTTTCAGAAAACACTACAGAAAGATGGTGCTTTTTACTTTCTTACCCCTTTATCAAAATATTTTCCAAAACTTTTTTTTTTAAACTTTAAGAAGTTTGTTGAAAACTTTACTCACAAGGCAGAGCCAAGATGGCAGAGAAAAGGCAGGGACTTGCCTGAGCTCTCCTGAATTCCTCTCCAAATAACTTTAACTAATGCCTCAAAACAAATTCTGAAGCAGCAGAACCCATAAAAGGACAAAGTGCAACAATTTCCCAGCCCAAGACAACTTGGAAAGTCAGCAAGAAAGGCCTGTCCCACAGGGATAAAAGCAGAGTGCAGTCCAGGGCAAACTCGGAGTAGACCTGGGGAATGGCTGAATCAGCTATGGCAGAGGTTGCTTCCACAGGAGTCAGACAGGAGTCAGAAGGAAAATACAGGGGTCCCTTTGCTGACACCAGGGGCAGGACTCTACTGCATCACCCATACTCAGATCCCTGTCTTGGTCTTGGATGGGTCGCAGGCCCAGGGTGAGGAGGAATACTAGCACACCAGAGCTTGGGACCCTGGGGGAGCAGGGACCCTGGTCACAGTTTCAAAGTAGAAAAGAGTACTTGTGGTCACTCGCAGATCAGAGCACAGGCCAGAAGAGGAGTAAACACACCTCTCCTTAGATCACACCACCTTAGAAGAAGTGAAAACTTATGGGTCCCTAAGATTAACTCTGAAAACCCTGAATCTTAGGAAAGTGCCCTTCTGATCCCAGAAGCAGAGCCTTGCTTTAGCATGGAGTCAGAAGTCAAGAAATAGCCTGGAAAATGGACAAACAGAAAAAAAATGGACTATAAAAAGTTACTACTGTGACCAGGAAGATCAAAACACACTCAGAAGAAGACAGCAAAGTCAAAACTGCCACACCCAAAGCTTCAAAAAAAAAATATGAATTGGTTTCAGGCCATGGACAAGCTCAAAAAGGATGTTAAAAATCAAGCAAGAAAGGTAGAGGAAAAAATGGGAAGAGAAATGAGAGTGATGCAAAAAAAAAAAATCCTAAAAAAAGGCCAACAGCTTGGTAAAAGAGGCACACACACCAAAAAAAAAAAATACTGAAGAAAATAATACCTTAAAAAAACAGAATAGGCCAAATGATAAAAGAGGTACAAAAATCCAATTAAGAGAAAAATGCCTTGAAAAGCAGAATTGGCCAAATGGAAAAAGATATATGAAAATCCATTAAAGACAAGTCCTTAAAAAGCAGAATTGACCAAATGGGGGGGGGAAGGTACAAAAATCCACTGAATAAAAAACCTCATTAAAAAGTAGAGTTGGCCAAATGGAAAAGGAGGTACAAAAGCTCACTGAATAAAATAATTCCTTAAAAATTTAAATTGGGCAAGTGGAAGCTAATGACTTTATGAGACATCAAGAAACAATAAAACAAAATCAAAAGAATGAAAAAAAACCAAAAGAAAATGTGAAATATCTCATTGGAAAAACAATTGACCTTGAAAATAGATTCAGAGAAGATAATTTTTTAAAAATTATTTTACTAGCTAAATGCCATGATCAAAAAAATAAGAGCTTAGACATCATCTTTAAAGAAATTATCAAGGAAAACTGCCCCAATATTCTAGAACCAGAGGGTAAAATAGAAATTGAAAGAATCCGCTGATCACCTCCTGAAAAAGATCCCAAAATGAATTATAGCAAAATTCCAGAGCTCCCAGGTCAAGGAGAAGAATTGCAAGCAGCCAGAAAAAAAAAAACAATTCAAATATCATGGAATAATAGTCAAAATATCACAGGTTTTTGCAGTGTCTGCATTAAAGGATCAGAGTGCTTAGAATATGATTTCCAGAGGTTAAAAGAGCTAGGATTACAACCAAAAAGCACACACCCAGCAAAACTGAGCATAATCCTTCAGAGGAAAAATAGATATTCAGTGAAATAGAAGACTTAAAAATATTCTTGATGAAAAGACCAGAGCTGAATAGAAATTTTGACTTTCAACCAAAACTGAAGAGAAGCACAAAAGTAAACAGGAAAGGGAAATCATAAAGATTTCAATAGAGTTAAACTGTTTACATTCCTACATGGGAAGATGATGTTTATAACTCCTAAAACCTTTCTTATAATTAGGGCAGTAAGAAGGAGTATATATAGACAGAGGGCATGGGTTTAAGTTGAATGTGATGGGATGATTGTTAAAAAATAAAATAAAGCTAAGGATTAAGAAAGAAAAATGCACTGGGAGAAGGGGAAATGAAGAGGTAGAATGGGGTAAATTATCTGACATAAAAGAGGTACAAAAGAGTTTTTACAGTGGAAGGGAAGATGGGGAAGTGGAAGAGAGGAGTGAGTGAACCTTACTCTCATCAGAATTGGCTCAAAGAAGGAATAACATCCCAACTCAGTTGAGTATAGAAATCGATCTTCCCCTCTAGGAATGTAGGAGGGAAAAGGGATAAGAGAAGAGGAGTGTGGTAGAAGGGGGGCAGATTGGGGTAGGTGAAAGACAAGGCAAAAATACTTTTGAGGATGGACCAGAAAGAAGGAGAGAGAGAAAAGCAGGATAAACAGAGGGAAAATAGGGTGAAGGGAAATACACAGTAATGATAAGTGTGAAAAAAAATTACAGCAAATTTCTCTGATAAATACCTCTTTTCTCAAGTATATAGAGAATTTTATCAAATTTATGAAAGTAAGAGTCATTCCTCAGCTGATAGTCAAAGGATATGAACAGGCAGTTTTCAAAGTAATGAAAGCTATCTATCAACATATGAAAAATGTCCTAAATTAGTATTTATTAAAGAAATTCAAATCAAAACAACTCTGAGCTACCACTTCACACCCATCAAATTGGCTAATATGACAGAAGAGAAAAGTGATAAATGTAGGGGATGTGGGAAAATTGAGACACTAATGCCCTGTTGGAGGAGTTGTGAACTGATTCAACCCTACTAGAGAGCAATTTGAACCTATGGCTAAGGGGCTACTCTTTGACTCAGCAATTCTACTACTATGTCTTTATCCCAAAGAGATAAAAAACAAAAAAGGAAAGGATATATATATATATATATATATATATATATATATATATATATATATATATATATATATATATATGTATATATATAGGTCCACAAAGTACAATGATCAATTTATGAATGACTTATCTATTCTTAGCAACACAGTGATCCAAGACAATTTCAAAGGCCTTATGATTAAAAATACTATCTATCTTCAGAGAAAAGAATTGATGGAGTCTGAATGCAGATCAAAGCATACTTTTTCTTTACTTTCTTTATTTTTCTTATTTCTTTTTATTGGGTAGGGTGTCTATGTTTTCTTTCACAACATAACTAGCTTGGAAATATGATTGCACCTAAGAGGGTGGTGTGCTTTTTTTAGGGATCAGGAAAGCACTGAGGCAAAGGAAATTTTATGGTCTTCTCCCCCAGGGGACCTGGGTTTCGAAGGGACCCTGGAAAGCAAGGAAAAGTGGTTTTCCTAAACCTAAAATAGGTTTGCTTTATTATGCCGAATTGTATTACATGTACTGAATACAATTGTCAACTCTTGGATCAAAAATTATCCCTATTTTGTCTATGACAAAGAGCATATGAAGCAGTTCCACTGGATCAGATGTATCCACCAAAGCTTGACCCACCACTAACAACGTTTGAAAAGAAGGCTGATCCAGTTTCACAGTGTTTTACACTGAAAAGATATGAATGGGTGCCATCAATAAGTCAGGTCAGTGAATTTTTCTCAGCAAGTTTCTTTTTGTTGTTATTCAAATGCAGCACAATAAGTGTGTCCAGGGCATAATAGTTCATCCATTTCCATGTTCACCTTGATCAAAGGAAATAGTAAATTAATTAAATGATTAGTAACATTAAAGGATGTGAAGCTAATACATTTTGTAAACACTGACCCAATTGTTCTAGAACTCCATGCTAAAAGCATTTATATTTTTTTAAAATTTGTTTTTAACTTTTTAGAACATATGAAACTATTTGTTTCTAACTCAATCTATAATGATTTCACTGAGTGCCTGTGACTAAAGGCAAGTACAAGAAGAGTTCTAGAATGACAAATGGGTCTTTAAACTGGTCTCGAACTGCATTTTACTATGCTCAAGTAAGTGACCTGCATAGGTTTGATAATTCTCCAGTAAAATTTCATGCCAAGTTGGTTTTTTGGTGTTTCCTTTTTTGCCACTGGATTTTTTATTTCATTGGCATTGAGAACTGTAGAGGAGAAACTCCCTCTATGAATGTAGATGGCAACTCTTTTTGAGACTGTTTAATTTTAGAGAATTGCTTGGGACCCTAAAAGGTTTAGTGACTTCACCAGAATCACACATCTGGGTCATTGTCACCATGAGGCCAGATCTCTGACCACTATGTTGTGCTGCTACTTAAGTTAATATGACTTGATAGAACCACTCCTCACCCCTGCCTCCACCCCAATAGAATATAAACTCTTTGGAGACCCAAACTACTTCATTTTTATGTCTCTAGCACCTGGCACAGTGCCCACACTTAGTAGGAACTTAATGAACATTTGTCAAATTGAACTTATTTCATATGCTCTAAAGACACAGCACTTCCTTGAAGCAGACCTGCATTCTTAGGGTCTCAGAGTAGATTCAAGCCCTTTGGTTAGGGTTATCCCGGGGTCACCCCTCAAACTGCAATTACTTGTTGCCAATCTAATATTGTAACCATCCTGAGCAGGGCATACACCTTAATTCAAGGAATTTCTTCTATACTACAGAGTGCTGGACACAAACAAACATTCTTTAAAATCTGTACCATTAAAAAAAAAAAGAACTGTCTAAATTTTTTGTTTTATTGAAATTATATTGATTGAAATAAATGGAACACAACTAGGGCTCCAGAGTATTTTTATAACAGCCCCTTTGCCACCATTGTTTCAGAACATTTGTTTCTGACTGTTTAAAAAACCAAAATTTTTTTTGATTCCAGTTGCCATTTAAGTAAGGTCCACAATACATCTCATCTCGATCGTTTTCTCTAATTAGAAGCAAATAGATGAGATAGGAGAAAAATGTGAGCTAAATAAATAAACCTAAATATTATCATGTAGAAACTAAGTCAAATAAGCAAGGACATGTGGAAATATTAGAAACACTTTTGAGAACCTTTCATTTGCATTATGGACTTTAACTAAAGTTCAAAACTCCACTATTTCTATTGTTTGCCGTAAACTGTTACTGTCAAATTGTGTTGCTTAAACATGTGTCAAAAACTGGAAAATGCAAATGATTTATCAACTACTTTTTCTCCCACTCATTCTGAGAATTGTTTTAGTTTGTCGGAGGCCTCTGGGACAGATTTCAAACAAGATCCTTCACATCACCACAAAGACCAATTAATTAGTAAGTTTCACTTTTTTGTACTTGTTGTCAGATTCAGCCATACTTTTTATTAATGACAGTCCAATTACCCATTCTATATATCAGATTATTGATAATTAATAATATTATTAATAATATTTTTTCATTCATTCAGTGTTGGGAGACATATCACCTAGTAGACAGAATTCTAGGAGTGATCTCCAAGAACTGGTTCTAGCAGTTTCTGACTGCTTACCATGCACTTCAGTGGGAACAATAATCAAGTCCATTCCCCTTCCCTTTTTAATTTTTTTAAGGTATCTTAACATAAAGCTGGGATTGACTTGAGATATGATATACCCAGAATTGAGCAACCAAGTCACCGTCCCATTTCTTCTTGGAGTTAAACAAAGGGAACTTCCTCTCTTCTATTGATATTTTAATATTTTCTCAATGGAAAAGGTTGAGTACTAGCACCAATCACTTTCAGGTGGAGATAGGGGAGATGATAATGTAAACAAGAAAAGAGTTAATATGTTTTGAGTTGAAACCTTTAATCCATCCCCCCAAAAATGTGTTTTTGTCCTAGACCAATCATTTTCCTTAATTTTAAAAGATAATATTTTATAATCGTTTTTCGTTAGAAAAGGTTTATCCCAGGTAGTCTGGGAAAGGTTTTAGAGGACAATATTTTTTCTTAGTATTTCTTAGTATTTCTCAGTATTTTCAGTTTTACCAAAAATGTAGTTTCAAATATGCTTTCACAGTACCATTGAGAAACACAATATACATTATAGCCTAGAAGTGAAAAATATATAGCTTCAAGGAAATATCCTCTAGTTGCCCCTAAGCTTAAAAGGGGTGGGGGAGGGTGTTAAAAAAAAAAAAAGAGAAAATAATCATACCCAAACCAATTGCTTATTAATGTGACAAGTATCCAACTGTCATCAGTTAGGACCAGTGGGACCTGGTTTTGCAACAGGAACTTGATATGGGTGAAGGGAATCTATCCTGCAGACACATTGTCAAGTGCCAGACATTCCATACTTCCTTATTACTTTCCTGTCTATTTTGTTAACCCCTCCCCTTTCTCCTTCCCCTTACTACACCCTCACACAGAGGTTAACATTCAGTCAGAACTCAAGTTCACAGTTAAATAATTTTGATTAATTTGACTAATTAGTTAAAAGCATGATAAAATTAAGAAACAGCAGATATTATATATATATATATATATATATATATATATATATATATAATATATATATATATATATATATATATATATATATATATATATATATATATATATATATATCACAGAATATAATACTCCAGTCACTTCCAAGCTCTAACTCTCAGAGCAAAATTTCCCTTTCCCTTTGAAGTTCACTTTCATTCTCTTCATATCCATTATCTTTTCCCAAAAACCGTTCCCTCTTCCTAACTTCCCTGTTACTGTGGAGGGTACCACCAACCTCCCAGTCACCCAGGATGTCACACTAGATGTTATCCTTGACTCTTCACTCTCAACCCCCTATCCAGTTAGCTGCCAAATTGTGCCCCTTCATGACATCTCATATATTACCCCTTTTCTCCTTGACACTGCCACCACTCTGGTGTAGCCTCTCATCACCTCATCCCTAGATTATTGCAGTGGCCTACTGGTTGGTCTGCCTGTCATAAGTCTCTCCCCATTCCTGCCAATCCTCCCCTCAGCCATCAAAATGATCTTCCAAGGATAAAATATAAATTTTCTGTTTGGTTTTTAAAACCTTTCATACCCTGGCTCCTTTTGACCTTCCCAGTGTTCCACATTACTCCCTTCCATGTACTCTGCAATCTATTTCTTACGTGTTCCTCCCACAAGGAATTCCAGATGGTCAAAAATTAATTATCAGGTAGCCTTCCTGTACAGGCAACTGGTGCAGTGAATTGCACACCAGGCCTGGAGTCAGGAAGACTCATCTTCCTGAGTTCAAATCTGGCCTTAGACACTTACTAGCTATGTGACCCTGTGTAGGTCACTTACCCTGTTTGCCTCAGTTCCTCATATGTAAAATAAGCTGGAAAAGGAAATGGCAAACTACTCCAGTATCTATGCCAAGAAAACCCCAAATGGGGTTACAAAGAGTAGAACGTGACTGAAACAAGTACTCCTGTAGCCTCCTCCGTACAATTTGTGCTGGTTAACAGTTCACAATAAGTAGCTGTCTGTGTCTTACTGTGGCTGGACAAGTGTGAAGTATGTAGACAGAAGTGAGGTAGGTTATGGTAAAGTGAGGTGGGAAAGGGGATTAAGTAAAGCCTTCAGAGTGAGGAGATGGAAGCAGCACTTGGGCAGATGGTAGAATATGGAGAACATGGAGCAGGGTCTTAAATTGGGAATTCAAACCAGAAGCAGAGTAAGTAAAGTATACAAGAGAAGTCACAATGGGTCAGTGGGGAACAAGGCGTCATCAGGAGTTCCAAGGCTTGCATCAATAGGAGCAGCAGCTGTGGTAGGTTGAGACAACTTGTAAAATGGTTTTCTGGACATATATGGTGTACCAATGGAGCTTGCTTATCATGTGCTATTCATTGATGGGGAAGGGCTCCTGAAGTCTGATTCTTCCCTTTATGGTAGGTTCTAGGGATCAGAATAGGCTAGGGCTAAAGCCCTAAGAGAATCTTCAGGAACTGGTTTGGATGATAGTAGAATGTTCCCTGGACTAATTAAAGAAAGTTTCCCCCCAAATCTGTTATTCCTGAGGTTAGAGAAGGGAGGGTCAGGCTGGTTAGAAGTACTAGTTTTACCTGGGGCCCTAATGGTTATTAAGTTCTTATCTCTAAATTGATTACCTCTTCCTATTTCCTAGTGTGAGCCCAAGTACTCGAACCCAATATATTCCTCTTTACACGTAAGTAACATGTTCTATTATTGTGCAACTTCTATCAAAATGATAGTTGGCCTCAGTTCCCTTTTGCCGTATTTATAAGTCGTTGATAAAACAAGCTGAGCTTCTCTAAATGGTTTAGCACAGTGTGTGGCCCATAGTAGGCACTTAATAAATGCCAATTAATTGACTACTCACAAGCCCAGATAATTCACTGTAATATTATTAGCTCTAGTACATGACTTCTATGAGGCATTATGGAATTGATGAGCTGGGAAGAACTCTTGTAATCATTTTAACCACCCTGTCATTCAGATGGATTAACCAAGGCCCGCTTTGACTAAAGTAAGAGGAGTAAGGCCAGAGCGTAGCCCAAAAGTTCATCTCAGAGTTAATTTCCATTCACAAAACAGTGATTCAGCACCTACTATGAGAGCTTTCCTATTTTCCTGAAACTGATCACTTCACAGAATTAGATCCAATAAATGGTCAAGGACCTATGATTTCAGAAATAGACACTGGTCATATATGTTTCTGCAGAGCTAGCATACTACCATGGAAAGAGTTCTGAGTTTGGAGTCAAAGGATCTGTCTTCAAATTCTAGCTCTGCTCCTTATTTTGTGCCCTTGGGTAAATCACTTCATCTCTCTCCTCTTCAGTTCCTCATCTGTAAAATGAGAAAGTTAGATTAGATGACTTTCATACTTTCTTTCATGCCTAAACTTATGATCCTAAATGGATACTATGGCATGAGGATCTTGGCATTTACCCTTTGAGGCCATCTTAATAAATGGACTATTGAACTTGGAAAGTAGTTCTACTACCCTTCTCACTTTTCTTATAAATAATTTATTTCTTTCAATGAAACAGTGGTTATGTTGAATCATCAAACCCGGATGACAGAGATGATCCTGATGGTGACCTTAAATCTTTGGGCAAGCCTCGGACCTCAAGGATACTTTATACACCTACAAGCCGGTAAGCTGTATTTATCAAATAGGTATTCATTAATGATGGAAATTAATGGTTAACTTAGTTACAAAAAAAAGAAAAATGGCTCTGTTGCTGAGGAAGACATGTACATGCAGAGTACTGAATTTGGAAATTTTGGTACAGACATTGTAATTCCATTGCAATAGACAACTCCTGATGACAAAACCCCATCTATCAATATACCTGCTCTGCAAGTTATGGTCTTATGAGAGTCACTTGGAGGCATTGAGAGTTTAAGTGATTTGCCCAGGGTCACAGAGCTTATATGGGTCAGAGACAAGGTTTGAACCAAGACCATCTGCACTCTGAATTCTCTCCATCTCCTATGCCACCCTTTCTCTTAGAATTTAGAATTAAGGGATCTATATTCAAATCATAGCTCTATTTAGTACATATATTGCCATAGACACTTATTCTCTTGGAAACTCATTTTTTTTTTAATTTAGGCAATTGGGGTTAAGTGACTTGCCCAGGGTCACACAGCTAGTAAGTGTCAAGTGTTTAGTCTTAGGCAGGATTTGAACTCAGTTCCTCCTGACTTCAGGGCCGGTGCTTTATCCACTGCACCACCTAGCTGTCCCCTTGGAAACTCATTTCTATAATCTGTAAAGTGAAAAGGAGCTCCGCCAAGAGATCTCAAAAATTCTCTTAAATGTAAAATTCACAATCATTTATACCTATATGAGAACTATTTTAAAAAATATGACATTGCAAAAGAATGCTGCTGATCAGATGAGGGAATTTGGTGAGATTAGTTAGTGCAACTTTATCTCTGTTACCAGAAAAACAACTCAAAATACTATGCTGGTGGGGGAGGAAGGTCATCCGAAGAATAGTATCCATAAGATGTGGGAAAATTGGAACACTAACGCATTGTTGGTGGAGTTGTGAACTGATCCAACCATTTGGAGAGCAATTTGGAACTATACCCAAAGGGCTATCAAAATGTGCATATCCTTTGACCCAGCAATACTACTTCTAGGTCTGTATCCCAAAGAAATCATAAAAATGGGAAAAGGACCCACATGTACAAAAATATTTATAGCAACTCTTTTTATGGTGGCCAAGAATTGGAAATTGAGGGGATGCCCATCAACTGGGGAATGGCTGAACAAGTTGTGGTATATGAATGTCGTGGAATACTATTGTGCCATAAGAAATGATGAGCAGGCGGACTTCAGAAAAGCCTAGAAAGACTTATATGAACCGATGCTGAGTGAAGTGAGCAGAAACGGAGAACATAGTATATAGTTACAGCTACATTGTACAATAACTGACTTTGATAGACTTGGCTCTTCACAGCAATGCAAGGATCAAAGACGACTCCAAAAGAGTCATGATGGGAAAATGCTGTCCATATCCAGAGAAAGAACTATGGAGTCTGAATGCAGATAAAAGCATACTATTTACTCTCTTTTTTTGTTGTTTTGTTTTGTTTCTTCTTTCTCATGGTCGCTCCCATTGGTTCTAATTCTTCTATACAACATGACTAATATGTTTAATATGGATGTATAAGTAGAGCCTATATCAGATTGCATGCCATCTTGGGGAGGGGGAGGGAAGGAGGAAGTGGGAGAAAATGTAAAACTCAAAAGCTTATGGAAATGAATGTTGAAAACTAAAAATAAATGAATTAGTTTAAAAAAAAGAATGATGTCCATAATGATATTTTTGCATGTGAAGAATATTGTCTTGGCTAGTGTGGTGAAATCAATGAATGAAATCTAGATGAGGCCCTATAATAATCATTTCAACATAAAAATTTGCTTATGATATCACCCTTTATGTCTAAATCATGTACCCATTTGACCTTATCTTAGTGTTTAGTGTGAGTTGTTGGTCTATATTAATTTGTGCCATATTGTTTTTCAGTTTTCCCAGCAATTTTTGTCATGTAGTGAGTTTTTGTCCCAATGGCTTGTATCTTTGCATTTATCAAACACTAGATTACTATGGTCATTTACTCCTGTTTATAGTGTATCTAATCTATTCCACTGATCTACCATTCTATTTTTTAGCCAGTACCAGATTGTTTTGATGATTACCACTTTGTAATACAGCTTGAGATCTGGTACTGCTAGGCCACCATCCTTCACATTTTTTTTCATTGATTATTTTGATATTCTTTGTTCTTCTAGATGAATATTGTTGTTATTTTTTCTACCTCTATAAAATATATTTTGGTAGTTTGATTGGTATGGCACTGAATAAGTAAATCCATTTAGATAGAATTGTAATTTTTATTATACTGGCTCAGATTCTCATGAGCAATTAATATTTCTCCAGTTGTTTAAATCTGACTTTATCTGTGTGAAAAGTGTTTTGCAATTTTGTTCACATAGCTCTTGGATTTGTCTTGGCAGGTAGATGTCCAAGTATTTTATATTGTCTATAGCTATTTTAAAATGGAATTTCTCTTTCTACCTCTTGCTGCTGAATTTTGTTGGTAATATATAGAAAAGCTGATAATTTAAGTGGGTTTGTTTTATATCCTGCAACTTTGCTGAAGTTGTTAGTTATTTCAGTTAGTTTTTTAGTTGACTCTCTAGGGTTCTCTAAGTATCACATTATCTTCAAAGAGGGATAGTTTTGTTTCTTCATAGCCTATTCTAATTCCTTCAGTTTCCTTTACTTCTCTTATTGCTATGGCTAACATTTCAAGCACAATGCTGAGCAAAAGTGGTGATAATGGGCATCACTGATTCACCCCGATCTTATTGGGAAGGCTTCTAGCTTATTCCCCAATACAGATGATGCTTACTGATGGTTACTGATGGTACTGGGATGAACCATTTCCATTTCTGATTTGCTACAGATCTGCTACAAAATTACAATCTATTTAGCATTTATATGCTTTATACTAATGATTATTAGTACTGTTAGACTATTACAATAGTGCCTTAATTGGTCTCCCTGCCTCAAGTCCCTGCCCATTCTACCTCATTTTTCATAAAGTCACCTGCGATTTCACTTAATTGAAGATTCAGCCATTCACTCTCCTTACTCAACAAACTCCAATGACTTCCTACTACCTGTAGGATAAAATAGAAACCCCTCTGTTTGGCTTTTCCTGGCCCTATTGTATTTTTCCAGACTCACTATGTACCTGCTGTCCTATTTGCATCCAACAGTCCAACCAAATCCACCTTTTCATTCTTCCTCATACACAGAACTCCATCTGCCATCTCAGCACCTTTACACCGATCATCCTCCATGCCTGGAATGCACTCTCCCCTCACCTCTACCTCAAAATTCCTCTCTTTCTTCAAGACACTGCTCAAACATCATCTTCTATAGGAAGCCTATCTGGATCCCCCAATTATTAATGCCCTCTCTTCCTACCTACCTCAATTTTTTTTGTATTTCTCTGTTATTTACTTATTAATGCATTTGTGGCACATAGTTGGCACATAATAAATGGTTGTTGATTGACTAATGATTATCACTGAGCATTTTGGAGCTTTGAAGAACTACAAAATAATGACTAAAGGAAAACATGTAACTTACTTGAAAAAAGTATTCATTCAACATATAATAAGAGTAAGGAAGGTGTCTCATGTTAGAGAAATAGATTACAGCCATTCATAGAACATTAAAAGAGTTGTCAAAAAATGTGCATCTGACTGTCAGCTCTAATACTGATTTTCTACTTGACATAAATACTAAATTGGTAGGCATCTGGTCTTGTACAAAGATCTTTGTATTCTTTATAGCACCTAATACTGCCTTCCCTCCACATGGCAGATATTCAGTATAGATTTTTGATTTGATGAATTTTTTCACATAACTACCTGTTAGTCTTGATGGTAAGAGTATTTTATGGAGCAGGAGAAAAAGATACCTATGCCAGATGGGCCAAACTGCCACCTTCTCCTTAATTACCACAACCCTCAGACCCCACTAGGAACATGGACCCTGCTCCCAAAAGCCCCAGGAATACCAGTGCCACCATTCTTGCTTCCAGCTTATCCTGGAAGCCATTCTCCATAGGAACATCCCTTGAAGAGGTACAAATACTTGGCAGCTGCCCCTGCAGGCGCTATAGTGCCTCTCTCCTGGAAGCCCCCACTACAGAAGAAGTGTAAAAGAAAGTCCTCCATTCCAAAGTCTTTGTTATCGTCAGAAACATATGTATGTTATAAACCAGAAACAGAGAGGATTTTATCAGTGGATGTTGTTCTTCCTTCATTTTGAAGAGGACCAGTGACATCATGAGTGATGTCTTGAATTGCACGTGAATTGGATTTAAGTGAGGCAGAACTGTGCAGTCATCAACCTCACTCTCTCTTCCTAAGTCATCCAAGTCCAGTGGCAGGACAAAAGTCAAGACAACCGGTGATGGCCCAGGATGTACGATGACCTTGGTGTCTTTGATACCTGACCACGCTCTAAGCACTCCACAGCACCTGCTTCAGCCACCTTCATGGATGTTGGAACAGATATTTCTCATCAGCCCATTCGGCCAGGGAAATCTTCACATTCTTGAGATAAACATCCCCCCTAATTCATTGACAGGTTTGACGCCTGTCAGTTACCCTCAACCTGGGTTAGCCATCTGCCAAGATAGTTTACCATAGTGTGGCCCCTGTGCATGCTACAATTTCTTGGAGCCACAGGTGAAAAGTGGGTACCAAAGGTGGATGAGCAGCCCTCAAAAATAAGCTCAGCAAGCCTTCACACTAGAGGTGCTAGTCTTCCCTGAGCACCTTATACACCCCTACCAGTGTATTATTATTTATTAATATCTGCTTTGCCTCTGTACCCTAAGGACCACTGGGCCTTTCCATCTGACTTGCTGCTGAAACTTCCTGTGTTGTTTTCCTGTGTTAGAATAAGCGTCTTGAGAGCAGGGATTATCTTAGTTTTTGCACCCACAGTACTTACCACAAAGGCCATAATACATTTTTTAAAATTCGTTCATCATGTATTCGTTCATTAGAGGTGACTCTGATACTAGACAGGGACAATATGGCACAGAGAATAGA